TAAAGGCACTGGAGTGAGAGCATTAACACATGACGTACCTGAGAGGGGCGAGAACGAGAGAGGGGATATAGAAGCCCCACATGGTAACTGAGAGGAACCGAGACAGGTAGAGCAAGCGAGGGAGCAACAGTATTGAGCGCAGATGAGAGGTAACACACATGGTAGAGGGACTGAAGGGGGTAGACAAGGAGAGAAGCTGGTGAGCGAAAGGAAAAGGCGAGGGTAGACATCAACACAATAGCACTGTAAGGCGATGGAGGAAGAGGAAAGAGCAGGAGACAGATGACAGCTGAGCGATGGGGAGAAAGAACCAGAGGTAAACACGAGCTGACCTGAGGAAGCGAGACGATCGAGGGGTATAGGATGCAACCACACGAAGGCGTACCTGAAGCGATGAACAGTAAACAAACGTAGCCTGCGCGAGACAAGGTAACAACACACACTACCTGATGCGAGACATGTAACACACAGCGTACGCTATGGCGAGACGGTAACAACACAACAAGCGTCGTATGACAAGTGACGAATCAAAAAATAGGAAAATAGGTGGTAATTCAGAATGTGAAAAAAATAAGGAAGGAAAAATCAGGAATTTTGGTGAGAACGAAATTAATGGATGTTAATAGGAAGGTGAGAAAAGAGGGTGAGAAGATGAGGTATATGGGGGTAAGAAGGGCTTATAAGAGATAGTGACCCTAGCAGCTATACGTTACCCACAAAGCATACCGTCGGTTCCAGTACACCCATCCGCGATCCCACCCGAAAATGGTTTTCTTGATATTTAATATTTTGGGAGTTATACATCACATCGCGAGAACAATATTGTTAAGAGTTTTAATGAGAAGATGCATGTAATAATGATTTAAGCAATTTATAGTCATCATAGCCACGCCATACATGTAGCACATACTCCAAAATAGACACTTTAGACGTACATGTATACATAACTGGGGGAAACTTTTCCTTTCACTCATGGCTGATTATTTGAATAAAATATATTAATGATATGATAATATCACTAAAATGCTATATACATTTTTTTTGTAGGCTCCCTACATGTATTTTCATAATGTAGACAATTAAGTTACTTAACAGTAATCACATGTGTCGTTTAATAACAAATGCCTTGTTTACTTTTTGGCTCAGTCTAATGCTATAGCGGTCAACGAGTACGAGTACGTAATAGTTCTCAGTACTAATGCCCTTCGTCCTATAATTCCTCCCTGCGACAAAGCGAAATCGACAGTGCTATGACTATAAACGTATTAGGAGTAGTATACTGATAGCGTAG